TGTTAAAATGCTCCTTTAATCAGGCCAATGGCACAGAAACAGGAACTCAAAAGGCTCAGCTGTTCTGTGGTCTAGGGCAGGCGGGAGAGCTTCATAACTGAGGTACTAATCCCAGTACCTTAGAGCCAACAAAACCTCCCATGCATCAGCTTCATCAGTACCTCCTCAGTTACTCAGCACTTGAGTTAACCTCTCCTAAAAGCCTCTGGTGACTTTTCCTTTTTGCTTTCTCCTTCTAAAGCTTTCTCCTTTTTCCTTCCTTTGTTTGCATAGTGGAACTAATATCTGATAAGAAAAAGCAGGTTGCTGTGGCTGTCTGCTCGCTCTCCAGGCAGGTGACTGCCCTCACCTTCCATCTGGCAGCTGTAGATAATACTCCAGAAAGTGTTTTTTGCACTTCCAATGCACCAGAGAGGTGATAACTTTGTTCAGTCTCTCAGCACTTTTCCCAAGAGCAGTAGTAGATGATACTCCTTGCATTGAGAGAAGTACATGGTGGCATCCCTGAACATTCCCTGTCTTTCTCCTCCTCATTCCTTAAATATCTGTGCTTTCAGCCCCTCTTGGGCAACCAGGGGAACAGTGAGAAGCTCCTTGCACAGCCCTGCAAAAGGGTCTTGGGGGACTGCCAATGAGCTCCTGTCTCTCCTTGCAGTACTTCCATTATGTATGACTGGGTCTCAAATGTCTCAATTTTATTCCCTTGCTGCATCCTAGACTGTAACAACTGTGTTGAAAGGAATGGCCTAGTGGAAGAATTGGCACGCTCAATTCTCCAGCAGAAATGTTTGAAGGTGACTTTTACAAACTGAGGAAGCCTTGCCATGAAGTCTTGCTTTATTTCTTATATGGATATTCATTTCATGCACCTAAAGTGCACCTCGTTGAAACAGAACATTAATAATCACTTTATGTTCTTAAAGAAAAGGCTAGACATAAGTTTGATGAAACTTTGATGTGCAATTATGGGTGATATGTGAAATAATTTGCAGACAACTTTTTTCTCAAGTAGTTAAGGTGTGCTGTAGGTTTTAGCTGGTTGAACAACTTTTGGATGGCGTAAGCGTTCAGAGCTTTATGAAAGTGGAATTTTGTAGTTATTAAGAAATCAGTGGCTGGAACCAAGATTTCTTACATACTATGGATGAAATTTGGCCCGTTGAAGTCAGGAAGAATTTTACCTTTAACTTCAGTAAAATAAGAGTTTCATCCTCTCATTGTAACAGACCTTTAACAACTACTTATAATCTTGTCAAAAACTCTGTTTGAGTGAAACTGATCCCATAGGGCTTTTATTGAGACAGAATGATAGTGGAGGAGGGAAGCTTTTAAATATTTCTACTTGAAAGAGTTGTAATGTGAATGGTGCTGGTGTTCTGACAGTATAACCTTGATGTGGAGATGGTCTGTAGCTCAGGTGGCTGCTACAGTGAGCACAGTCAGATTATTCTGGAACGACTGTATTAAAAGGCTGGTTTATATTTACATGCCCAGGCCTCCTTTCTCATTCTGCATTAACAGCAATCCGGGAGAAGCTGTGTTGTAATCAGCTGTAAAAAATGGAGTATGCAAGCTCTGACATGGTGCTTGAAACCAATGTGTGCAAATACCACCCCAGCTGATGTTTGCATGAACAGACCCAGATATCAGGTTCTCTGTGACTCCTGGAGCTATGATCTGATTAAGTACCTTGAGCAATACACCAAAGAGAAATCTGTATGCAACAACCCATACTTCCAGCCTCGCAATCATAAGGGGTGGCTGCTGTCTGCTTTTTCTCCCGTATGTTGTAGGAAATCCAGTCTCTATGAACCAAGAGTCAGTTTTGTGGTGCTGTTTTTCAGGTTTGTACATATTAATGAAAAACAACTGCTGTGGGGTGCAGAGCTCTCTGCAGAAATTCAGGGTGATAACCTCTATGCAGTCTATCAAGATTCATGGCTGTGTTGTGCGCTAGATGTTGTACCCATATCAGGAAATGCACACCTGGTAAGAGGTAGCCAGGAGAATGTTCACTGAGCATTTTAAAAATACACAAGGGCCTCAATTGTGTGCTTCTTAAATTAAAGTATAACAAAAAGGCATAGCCAGCTCACTTGCTCAAGATGGCCAGGTTAGAAGTGGCCTTAGGATTGGAAAGGTGAGAAGAAAATAAACATACCAGTATGAAGAGGTAAAGAAAGAGGTTCCTTGCAAAAGGAAGTTCTTTCAGAGAACCCTTGCAGTGAAGAGGAAGGCTGCAATCCAGGTGCACTTGCAGCTGCTAAACTCTGTTCTCTTTGCACTGGGCTAGACCCAGGAGATAGCACCTGCAGCATGCTAAGGGACACGCTGCCTATTGCAGGCTGGCGAATTGAGGGAGGGCACAGGAGTTGCCTTGGTACCTGAGACAAACTGCAGCTTCTGAGGCAGGTCTTGGCTGCACAGTACCCTGCAGCTGTGTATGTTACCCTTCCATTTATTGCAGGCAAAAATAGTTCTGGGGGTGGACTTAATTCCATTAGGTCACATTCTCTGTGTATCTTGTCTTCATTTCTCCCCAGTGTCAGCTCAGGAATGTCAACAGCGTCCCTCATTACACATAAGAAATTTTTCCAGAGGCATGTTACAATTCATAAGGCATTCCAGTGAACCAGGTCTTACTCGTGATTCTGCATTGAATCTTCCTTCACTTAGCTTCCCAGCTGTTTCGGGATATGAGAAGGAACATGAGGATCCCTTCCTTGAGATTTACAGATGACCCATGTAGAGTATTAAAGTGTTGTAGAGCTGCAGCCTTTCAAACAAAATATTTGAACCACTGGTATACAAACAGGAAATGGACTGCAGTATAACGTCAGCTTTATGATGGCACTTCGAGCAAAGTTTCTTAACTCAAGAAAATTAAATTTGCAGTACTTAGCACAGGAGATATAACAATGCACTGTAAGGATGGCAGGCTGGCTTTCAAGTGCCCATTAGAGTGATTTTTATGAAAAGGATGCAGGTTCTGGACAGGATGCTGCTAGCACCAGATTGTTAAATTCATCCATGTAGCACTCTCTGTGACTGTGGCTTCGCTGGCTCTGGTGCCCAAGGGCAGTCTCCTCTGCAGACAACTCCATATTTTAGTGATTTTGAAATTTCTTTTACAAAAATAAAGTCCAAGAGCAGTTTTGCCTAAGGGCAGATATCTCAGTCTTTAGTCATTTATTTTCCGTATTGTAGATTTTCTGTCTATTCTCACAAAATGATACATTATCTCTGTTCTGAATTGGACTTCTTTTTTTTCTTTTTACGGTTTCTTATCATTATATCTTATATTGCTGATTACTGTTTGCCTTTTTCCCTTCCTCCCTTCCTGCTTCCCAGATCATCCTCATAATGCCATTTCTAGCCAGCATTGTTATTGCATTTCTGTGCCCTTATTTTGCCATTTCCACATATTGATAGAGCTCCAGAATTTCTGCATGTTGGCAGCAAGTGGAGCTCTTTCCCCCAGTTTATTGTCCATGTAGCTTCAATGCCCCAGTAAGGCATCATTGTGTTGTATTGAATTGCTGAATGCTGTGCCATCTGTACCCGGACAGATTGTTACACTTTATGATCCTTTTGGATAGGAGTTCTCATAGCAAGAATACTGACTTTGATGTGGTAGCACGAAGCATGGAGTATCAAAAGTGGACAGTCTGGGTACACAAGGCTGCTGCAGTAAGAGAGGATGCTTTGGCATCCTGGTGGCAGGGTGTTAAGGCTTTACTTGCAGAATTTTGTCCCTCAAGGGAAGTAGAGAGGAACCAGACCTCCTCTCCTGCAGTGTCCTGTACTACCCCAGCACAGTGCAGCCTTTGGTGCTTTGTGTGTCTCTGTTCAGTTGCCTCTGAGGCAGTAAAGTGGGAAAGGCATATGTGTATTCTTCATATAAAATGAGAATTGCGTCCTCACCATCCCAAGCAAACCATTTGAGACATGCAGGTAGCAAAATGGCCCAATTAAAAATAGATTTTCATCGTGCTATGTACTGCATGCAGCTAGTAAAGTCAGCTTTGGCTCTGTTGATGTATTTTATATCAATAAAAACTAATATATCACGGTGCTCAGAAATGTGCCTCAGGCTTTTATTTGCATTCATCTTGATCTGCCAATCATACAGAACCTCCATAGGATGTCTGCCTTTTTTAAGGCTTTTTCTGGCTCAGGAATTCCCCAACAGTGGGGCAGCACTGTTTCCCTAAACGATATGCCAGGCACAGTGTCCCAGCCCTCTTTTCCTAATACTAATTCACAATATGTAGGACCAAACTGGTCTGCCTCATTTGTTCAGAAACTGACTGTAGTACTATATGCTTAGCTGGGTGGAGTTCCCAGAATATTCATTTTGTTGTGGCAATACAAGGCAGTAAGCATGGAGGCAGGCTGTTTTTTTTTCATTAAAAAAAATACCTATTTGGAGATGCTGTCATAATCTGTCCTGCAAATGTAGCATTACTTAATTCACATACTTTTCATTTGTTCAAAAGTTATTTGCAGAAGGCAAGCATTGTTCCCCATTTCGTATGCAGGGAGTTTGGGGAAAAAAAGGATGAATGAGCCTGTTAGACCCTTCTCAGTAGCTAAGATAGGAGAAATCAGTGCTTCTTTGCATCTGTGACACTCCTTTAATCAGAAGTCAGATCCCAGGTTTGGTTGCAGTATCCACAGAAAGCAGACAAGAATAAGGATTGCAGCAGGAGCCCCAGCACAGGCCTTCCTGCACATACAAATAAGAAAGAATGATGTTGCTGAAACTGCTTGCTGTTGTAAAAGCCATTGGTGTGGCTGAGCAGTAGATAAGGCCCCAGACACAAGCACAGCACTCCAGCTGCTTTATCTCCCACTCGGGCAGGGGCTGCTATGCTTCAGCAAGAGCCAGGAGCTGCCAGGAAAAGCTCGCTTGTGTCGGTGCTCATGTATTACTGCGACAGGCCTAAATAGGAAGGCATTGACAGAAACTGATGGGTTTTCTTTTTACTCCCCCACAGACTGACCATCTCTGCTGAGTGTCCCATGCAACTTGAAGATTTCCCCATGGACGCACACGCCTGCCCATTAAAATTTGGAAGCTGTAAGTTATCTTCTCAAATGAGATCCAGAAAATTCCCCGTCTGGCTTTTTGTGTTCAGTGGTACTTTGTACAAGTCCTTTGCACTTCTCTTACTCCTCTCCTTTTAATACCACATGTATTCTGTGTCCTTCCTGGTCAGCTGAGAGCAGATGGGTGGTGTGCACCCATACCAAGGGCAGAAGCCAGCCTACACATCCAGTATTGGATGTGGACAGATAAGTTGATGACTGCAGTTTTGCTTTTGTAGAAAAATGGAGCTTTCATTGGAAAAGATCAGATTGTGCTGTTAAGGTTCTCACATGAATCAGACTGCAGTGCAGTATGTGCATTGTGTATATTAACAGAGAGCTAGAACACTGAAAGAGGAAATATCTCTCCATTTGGTTTTAATAAATCCAATCCTGTATCTTGTTTCATGATTTAGTGTACACTTACATTTGTGTATATGTACACATTATTCTAAATTGTATGCGGAACAATGATTTTTCTTCAGTTCCAAGCCTCTAATCCACCATGCTGGTTCCTTGCCAGAAGCTTACTTTAAAAATAACCTCAGAGGATCAGATGGTTATATTTAAATACAAAGCTCTTAATTAAAGTACGGATGAGGCTACTAGAATAGGCATTTTTTATTTCAGTAATCAAATGAGAGGTTCCAGGTGCAATCAGTGTCTCTAAAGACTTTTGAAAATTACCCAGCAAGGCGTTTTGCTTGTCCCTGAAGCCACCTAGCTTCAGCATTTTTCAATGTTTTTTCAGTCATACCAATTTAGAGTCACTAATCCTACCAAGATTAAGCTTTGCCTTTACCTTCTGTATCTGCACTGGTTTAATACTGGCTATGCATTGTCTTCTTTTGATCATACTAAGAAGTAAAAACACTGCTTACAGTAATGATTACCAAATTACCTAACTTAGGATGAACTGCTTTCCCCTCCTTCTTGCAATCCAGATAAACTCAGTGCTGTCTAAACAGCCACCAATATTTTGCAAGGTTACTGTCAGTTCACTGTGTCTTTTACCTTGGCAATGTTAATTTATTGAAAGGCCAATACAGATCTGGAGGTATAATACTCCTTTGCATTCAACTTTAAAAAAAAAAAATTACACGCAAACCATGCATTGCATTCCAAACTTGAAAATGGGAAAGATTCTCACAGAAAAGTGTGATTATTTGTGTATAGGGTTAAACCAAAGCTACTGGAAAAAAAAAAAAAGAGAAGAAGAAGAAGATCTCCTTCCTGCTGTTACATGTTATGTATTGTACTAGCAATATTATCTCATTGGAAAGATTAAAATTTTTTTTATTAGACACATGAAGGTTGACTGATTTCAGTTTGTGCTATGTTCTGCACTCAGTATACAATCCAAGTTTATTTTATAAGCTACTGGAAGTTATCTTTAAGGTCTTTTGCAGTGTCTGAACATGGAGCCTTTGCTGGTCCACACTGACGGTCTCTGCAGTAAGTAAATACATAGGAACAGGCTATCCATAGTCTTTCAGCCTTGGGAATATCTGTTATTGATCTGACAGCTCAAGACTTTATTGTAATGTAATATGCAGATGTTTGCACAAATATCAGCCAAGAAGTCAGGGTTTATTGAATTAGCCCAGCTGTATTTGAGGAGAGTACAGTACTAATTTCCTATTTCCATCATTTCAGGTTTGCAGTAAGTCATCTACAAGATAAAAATGCAGGGATGTATTATACACAAGCACAGGCCCTTCTTCAGCTTTTCTCCTTATTTTTCCCCAAAGGATTTATTTTCAATGGTTTTCTTTCCAAGAAGGATTTTGAAAAGCTTCAATGGCTAGCATCAAATGGCTAGCCAGTAGGGTGAAGTGGAGAGGAGTGCTCACTGGTCAGTGGGTGGGAGTTCAGGGCAGCAGAATAAAGTGGCCAACATAGGATGGCTACATAGGGAAAGGGGTTTAGGGGAGTGTCAGTGCATCAGCACAGGTGGGAACAGGTTGCTATAATTCTTCAAGCAAAAAGAAAAAAGTCCCGACATTTCCTTCAATATTAAAGAGTAGGAGTGTTAATCTTCCTCACAGAAATAAAGGTAAATGTTGATTTCTTATATCCCATTTCACTGGGGTTTGCTGTATTAAAATATAGGAGATTTTATGATCTGAAGCAGCATTATATGTGATAAGAATATTTTGCAGAAATAACTTAAAGTAAGGTCAAATACAGAAAAGGAGATATAATGGTATGTATGTGCACATACTCCCAACCTAGATGGCTGCTGGGCAGTTCACATACCAACTACAGAAGTAATACCTCTACGTGCTTTTCAACTTGATGATCTTGAAGGTCTTTCCAGCCTAGATCATTCTATGATTCTATTCCCTGTGGAATGTCGTGAAATGATATCCTTGCCAGAGGCCAGAAGTTAAGGACAACTGCTAATGAACTGAATGGAGAAAATTTTAGATGTCTTCTGCTTTCTGTAGAGTTCCCCAGGGCTTGAAGGTGGCCAGCCCAAGCCTGCAGTGTGGTACATGATTGCTATTCCTCCAGGCTTGTGCCCATGCTGGAGCTAAGGCTACCCGTAAAGCCACCCTGTAGGGATCTCATTTAGAGCTGGGGAGCTGGGCATGGTGTGTGAGGGCCAGAGCTTCTCAAGGAAGCCCCTCTGTCCCTCAGTCAGGGTACTGACGGGATGGCTGTGGCAGTCTGTTCTCTGCATCACAGCAGCTTGGCATGGGTGTTAGTTTCTTCAAAATAAACTTCCCATGGTAATTTTAGCACTGACCTGCACTCTGAGTAAATTTGCAGGCCAAACAGGATCTAGTGGTACTTCCTGGCACCAGCCATGTTTTCACAAGCTGCATCTTAGACTGGAGAAGTTCCTCCTTACCCCCCAAGCTATTTTTGGTGTGGGAAGGAGGAATTAGATAAGACAGAAAGGGCATTAAAGCTAGGAAGCTTTAATGTTTCACCTCTTCCACTGAGAGGCCTTAAGAGTACATTAAAAGTATGGTTGAGTGTGGTCTCTGAATGCCCGTGTGTCACTGGGGAGGTAAGCATCATTATCTCCAGGGCAGCTGAGGCAGAGAAGTTAATTGACTTTTTGTAAGGCCACACAGCAAATCAATGTCAGAAAAAGGATTAGACTCAACTTCTTTGGTTGGAGGGACAGATGTCTAATCCACTAGACCATGAAGGCCTCTGCCCAGGCAACTGACTTAACTCCTAAATCTCATTTTACTCATGTGTTAATTATATCAGTTTTACCTAGCTTTCAGGGTTCCCCTGAAGATGAATTAGTTATTTGCTATTAGTGAACTGGTGATTTGACAATGTCAGATATTGGAAAGGATAATCTATTTATGGCAACGGTATATTGAAGGCACCCTGTCGGAATATATAGATCTTGTACTGAGGAATGGATATTTGCATGAATCTACTGTCCACTAGTCACTTAGTGGGGAAAAAAAGTAAAAATCATACTCTTTTTAGAGTAAGTGGAAATTCTAATGAATATTCTGAAAATAATGAGATTCCCCCTAGCTCGCAAGTAGTGCTGTGGAAAAACAGGCCTGGCTTTTATTCCTGATGAATTTCATTTGGCTATGCAGATGGAGAAGATTGATCACTGTAGATTGCACTGAGAGTTTGCAGACTGTGAGAAAACAGTGCTAAGTAAAATTTATGGCTTCTGAAGAAATATATTAATGCGGTTTATGTACATCTTCTCTTCTAACAGCTCAAACTGAGTCATGTTGACTTCTGCAGCTTTTGGTAGGAGAAGGGGCACCAGCTATTTCTGTGGCAGAAAACACTCAGACTGTTTTTCTCTGAGGTGGCTGAACTTGGAGTAATGAACAGACAGAAGCTTCACCATTACCCCAGGATTTTATTGTAGCAGTGAACTAGCGCTAGTAAGATTCTTTCTGTTCACAGACAGTCCATGTACCTACAGACACGGAGAAATTTCTCCAAAAAAGTTTTTTAAGGAACTTCCACCAGTGTTGAAGTTTCTCCATGATGCTCATAATAGCTCTGAGGTGAAAGCACCTGCAGGGTGTTTCTTGATTTTATGCTTCCCCAGGTTGAAACTGTGAGACGGCAGGAGAACTGCATATGTGGAGGGACAACTCCAAAACAGATTGCAGGAAACAGACTCAGATTCCATTTTAGTAAAACGTGATGGCAATGTTTTCAGCTTCACAAAATATGTGAATAATTAAATGCAGCTTGCTCAGTAAAATCTCAGGTAAAGAGATTTAATTTTGCTTTTTAAGCTAATAAATCACAATAATCAAGCCTAAACTGATTTTTCATACATCCCGTAGAATTGATGGAGAACTTGGAGACCACCTAATAGAAATTGCTATTATTTGCTTCTAGATTCCTTGAAACTGTGGACACGTGACTCTTGTGGGGGCTGTTTCAAAAAATCAGGTTTTGATACGTAAACTCATGGCTGAAGCATACTCACAAAATCATAGGGTACCACAAGAGCTGCCAGGCTTTCCCAAATCTGCTGTGGCTCTTATCTGTTGCAGGACATAGAAATGCACTGCTCCAGAATGAGCAGAGTAGTTGGTCTTGTATTGAAAGCTGTGCATTGATAGCAGAGCCTTGTAAAATGGGTGGGATGGGTCTGAGACAATTTTAGTTAGACAGTGACATGGCAGTTAGTTGTCTAGACTCCTTTTATGGCCACTGAAAGGAAGTAAGTACTTTGGTAGCGCAGCTCATTAGAACTATTTTTGATGACTCCCTAAGGGTGAGTTGAATCAGATTTTAGAATTTCCTATTTCTCTGCAATACTATCTCAGATATAGATAAGAGACTTAGAAATCCATTTTTCTCTGCATAGCTAGCTCAGAATTAGATACATCTGTTGCACATTGTTCTGAAGAACTAGTTACTGGAGATTAGTTAGGTGTTGCATATGTTCGTGGTGAGCTGTTCTCTCTAGGTATGGGATAGCATTTTATGCTGGAAGGCCCATTCTTTCAAGGGAGTTAAAAATCAAAATTCGAA